TTTTCATCCAAGTGGCTAGCTACTATTTGGGAGGTCCAGGAAGCCCATAAAGCTTTCTTCCATTGAAATACGTGGTAATGGTGAGAGTAGACAGTCTTTGGATACTTGAGTACTTGGATGCAAAAGCAGCTGTGTTTTGGCAGTGGTGGAGGCACTACTTGACATCATGCAATCTAAATAAGAATATAAATAAAGAGAAGAAGATTTAAATGTTCACACAAAAATGTCATTTCTGCAGGATCTGTGGTATCATGATGTGGTGCCACAGTTTTCAAACTTCTTGAGCTGTGCTTAAACAAAGGAACCTTGCTTGGAAGAAATAATGTGTAAAGGAGACAAGAGCAAAACTACTCTGGCTTAGGAATTGTGAGCAAGAACAGAAAAGTATCCTTCCCTCAGTTAATTCTTTTCTCCTACAGATAGCCCTGCACATCAACATTAAAACCAGCCCAGGAATAAAAGGAGCCTGGAAGAGACTCAAATGGCCCTGGACTCAAATCTCAGCACTATGATCTTGGGTGGTAAAAATAATACTAATATCAATAAAACAAATAACTTACACCAGTTGAGCACTTTCTAGGTGCCTTATTTGCATTAATTTAACCCTCACAATATGAGACAGGTACTATCATTGTCACTATTTTATCAATAAGTAAATTGAGGCTCAGAATAATTAAGTAATTTGTCCAAAGATCCCACAGCCAGCACAAACCCCTACAGTCCAACTCAGTAGTCCATGTTAATAACCGTGAAAGTTCTTAACCTCTTTGGCCCAATTTGGCTTAGCCATCTTAATGCCATCATAAAAATGAGGAAAAGTGTCCAACAATCTTGAGAAAAAGTATCCTGAACAAGGCATTGAAAAGAATGATCATTCTTTTTATCAAGAAGAGCATAGAATACATGCCTCCCAGTTATTCACTAGTAACCTCAATGTTGAATAATCTGTCAAATAGCTCCTGTCAAATATCTGTGTGAGCCAGTTGCTACTTCAGGAATGGTTCATGGGACATACAAACTACCGAGTCTTAAAACAAACAAACAAAAACAACAACAACAACAAAACCCAGTAATTTGTTATTCCAAAAGAATCAGTGAAACAAAGGTGAAAATAATAAATGAAGTTCAGTATGCAGCCAGATAGAGGATGTAGACAGAGACCAATACTACCTCCTATCCAATGAAAAGATCCTAGTGACAAAAACAAATAAAAAATACATCTAACATATATTTATTAAATACTTGTTAACTAAAATGCCTAAACACCACCAATTTAGGCACTGGAGATACAGCTCCTTGTCCTTAAGGAGCTTACATGCTGGTGCAGGAGGAAGACAATGAACAAAGAGGCAAATATAAATGTGAAAGGTCAGGCCACAAGTGCTATAAAGAAGTATAAACAAGATACAAGGACAGAGTTATGTGGGAATGCATGACAGACAGAGTCAGGGAAGGCCTTCCGATACGGTGACATTTCAGTGTAAGCCTGGATCTGGAAGACGGCATTCCAGGAGAGGGGAGAGCAAGTGCATGGCCAAAGTGAGATAAGCCAGGGGAACATAAAAGGGATGCATAAAGGGCCGCAAAGGCCAAGTCACGCTAAGATCTTGCTGGCCATGTTAAGGGCTTTAAACTTTATCCTGAGATGGGAAGCCATGGAGGAGTTTTGGAGAGAGGAGTGATATGACTTAATTTACATTTTCAGGTTTACTCTGCGGCTCTGTGGAAAAGAGTCTATAAGGGAGCAAGAACAGAAGCAGAGAGGCATCAGAAGACTACGGATCAATTTGCAAACCCTGGACAAATCCAGCAATGGACACACAAGGCTTATACAAGGAAAACCATAAAACTCAGATGGGTGAAATAAGAGCTTTAATAAATAAGAATGCTACACTGTCCCCAGAAAATGTTCCACATGATAAAGATTATTTTTTGTCCCTCATTAATCTATAAAAAGCTAACATTTTATAGTGTTTACTATGTGACAGGCACTGTTCTAAGCACCTTGTATGTGTTGAAACAGGCAACTCTCTAAGACGGGTACTGTTACTATTCTCATTTCAAATATGAGAAAACTGAGGAACAGACCATGCAAGTAATTTGTTGTAGAGCTAGGATTTGAAACAAGTCATCCGGCTACAGGTATTCCTCCCTACCAATCAGCAAAGAAGCAATTTGCAAAGAATGCCTTTCTCTCTATAAAACTCTCATGCCTTTTGCAGACCAAGAAGCCCAGGAGCCCTTCTGGATGGAAGCTTTCAAGATGGAGGACTAAGGAAATGGAAGGACAGAGTAGTTTGTACTGGAAGGTCAGAAGAATTAGGTCTGCTGGGTTTCATACAACCCACGCTTAGGGCCCCTCTCTCACACACGTCCCAGATTCTCAACTGCAGTCTTGGGTCAAGGCAAGGCCTTAGGGATCCAGCCACATAATCTTCTGTCAGAGACAGAAGGAATTTTGCCAGAGGCTCTGTCATTTCAGGAATGCCTGTATGGAGCAATCAGGAGGCAGAAAGAGGCACTGACCCCACACAAGTCTACTTTCTTTAGAAGTCTGATTTATCTCTCAAAAAGTTCAATATTGTGAAGGGGTCAGTTCTCAACATGATGTGCAGGTTAAATGCAATCTCAATCAAAATCCCAAAGTTACTTTGTGAATATCAGAAAACTGACTCTAAATTTTATATGAAGAGGCAAAGGGTAGCCAACACAACCTGAAGAAGAACAAAGTTGGAGGACTGACAGTATCCAACTTCAAGACTTACTGTAAAGCTACAGTCATCAAGACAGTGTGGTAGTGAAAGAAAAAATAAAATAGATTCATGAAACAGAATAGGGAGTAAGGAAATAGATCTGAATATATATCACAAAAATGTAACCAAATGACCTTTGACAAAGCAGCAAAGATAATACAGAGAGAAAAGATACTGTTTTCATTCTTCCCTGACAACCATGGAAGAGGTCTTCCTCAGTCTTCCTTTTGCTCTTTGGCTGGAGGCTCTGAAGTGCTGACTGATTCAGGCATTCTGAAGGTCTGATCCTGTGGCTCTTACCCCAATGCACATGAGACCCCTAGGAGCTCAGAGGTCAGTATCTCTAAAAGGATTGCTAGGAAATTCACTTTCTTGACTGTTTCTCCTCAATAAGGAATCAGAGACCCTAACCTAGAAGAGGACATCTGTATTGGCCAGGGTTCTCTAGAGGGACAGAACTAATAGGAGATATATATATGTGTGTGTGTGTGTGTGTGTGTAGATCTCCTATTAAGTAGTATTAACTCACACAATCACAAGGTCCCACAATAGGCCGTCTGCAAACTGAGGAGCAAGGAAACCAGTCTGAGTCCTAACACTGAAGAACTTGAAGTCTGATGTTCTAGTGCAGGAAGCATCCAGCATGGGAGAAAGATGTAGGCTGGAAGGCTAAGCAGTTTAGCCTTTTCATGTTTTTCTGCCTGCTTATATTAGCTGGCAGCTTATTAGATGGTGCCCACCCAGATTAGGGCTGGGTCTGCCTTTCCCAGCCCACTGACTCAAACATTAATCTCCTTTGGCAACACTCTCACAGGCACGCCCAGGATCAATACTTTGCATCCTTCAATCCAATCAAGTTGACACTCAGTATTAACCATCACAACATCCCCGTCTATGGAGCCTCTGAAAAGCAGGACATTAGTCAGGACCTCTCAAGGGCCCTCTATCCACTGAGAAATTAAGAATCAGACAGATGATAGCTAGAATACATCACAGTACCAACAATAACCTGAAGAAGCTGCAAGACACAGACATACTCTCCCACTTCAGGCTCAAACACCAAAAGCCCTCTGTAAGTCAGATGAATCTGTCCAATTGGAAGGGAAAGCAAATGCCTGAGAAGGGGCAGTGTCAGGTACTCTGTACTTCCTGGGGTCTAGCCACACTTGGCCCAGTACCTTCTTCCCTCCTCTCTTCCAGCCACAGCTCAAACAATGAAGGACAAAGTCCTAAAGAAGCACATCCAATCTACCAATGAGGCCACTGAAGTGTATCAGGTAAAGGCAGAAGACTTGGGACCTTCTGAAAAGATTTCCAACAAAAGGTTGGGTCTAATCAATACTGGCTTCTGGTTGCCCCCATGAAGAAAGGAATCAGCTGAAACAGTTAATCGATAATCCTTTCAAATTAACCACAGCTTTGCTAGATCTTTTCTTTTTCTCTCTTTTTTTAGATGGAGTCTTGCACTGTTGCCAGGCTGCAGTGCAGTGGCACGATCTCGGCTCACTACAACCTCCGTCTCCTGGGTTCAAGCCATTCCCCTGCCTCAGCCTCCTGAGAAGCTGGGACTACAGAAGTGTGCCATCACACCCGGCTAATTTTTTGTATTTTAATAGAGACGGGTTTCACCAAGGTCAGGATGGTCTCGATATCCTGACCTTATGATCTGCCCACCTTAGCCTCCTAAAGTGCTAGGATTACAGGTGTGAGCGCTAAGCCTGCTAGATCTTTTCTTAAAAAAAAGTCCCCTACTGGCTAATGCAAATATTAAAACCAAACAGTTGAGATGGATAAAAAACAATATGGCATAAAGAACATTCTAATCATTAAGTGAATCAACACAAAATTGCTTCCCATCTCTGAAACACACTGGAGACCAGCTGAGGAAGTGAGCTGACTCCTGCATTAGGTGGCAAAGTCTGCTAGATTTCAAGTTTCAGATCAGCTGTAATAAGCCATGAAAAGCTCTGAATGTTTTAGAATAGAATCAGTCTCATCGAACCCAAACTGCCTCGCAGCCAGAATCCAAACTGAGACAGTAGATGGTAGGTACATCCACATTGTCTCAGCAGAGACCAGAACAATCACACCAGACATCAGAGAGTTCTAGAAGTTCAGATCAAAGAACAAAAGGAGACATGACGTACACAGTAACACTACTGAAAAAAAAAAAAAAAAGTAAAAGGAGAGAAGCAGTTTCTGGAATGTGGAGGATGAGACCTCGGTTGCTGGGGTTCCTGGGTGTACCTGCAATGATCCCATCCATTTGCTCCAGGGCGGCTTCCAGCACATGACTAGCATCAGACGCCATGACTCCTGACTGCCTAGTCTCCTCTTCTTCTTACTGAAAATGCAAATACAGAACAAAGGAAAAATTACAGAGAGTTCCACGTTATGCATATGAGACCACAAAAACCTTTAATTCCATCATCACACAGTGTGTTTTCATAAGAATCCTAGTAGCCGACTTGTAGTTTCTGCATCTCCAAGACCTCTCCCAGGTGTCTCTCTCCTGGTATGAGCGCCTTTTCCACGAATCATTAGCACACAATCCCAGTCAATTCTGTCATGAAAAACCACTGGGGCTTTCCAGAGTCACCTGTGGCAGCAAGACAGCAATTGTTAACGCCTTCCCAGGTGTAACAATTGGAGTCCCAGGCTCCAGAAGCTCCAACCACACTGTGAAAGGCTCCACTAAGTGGCGTAGGAGAGCTGTGCACCTAACGAGGACATGGTCAAGGTGTACAAGGCAATGTAGTGGCAGGGCCCAGGACAGGACAGTCCCTGCAGGCATTTAACTGTCTTACATCTGCATTTGCCCTAGGCCTGCAATGCTTTCCTTGGGCAGAGGTGAGCCAGGCTGAGAGGGCTCAAATGCTACTTCCACTCCTCCAACTGGGACAGGGTGCCCTGCCTAGGAAGGTCACAGGCCACAAGGATGCAGAGAGAGCACTGTCCCAGGAGCACTGTAACTGACCATCTTAGATCCACTCTACCCAGCACCATTCAAGGTTCAGAATCCCATCTTTTCAGGGCAGATGAACATTTCCAAGGATACACAGTCCAGCCACTCCCTTAATGCTGTATTCCCTAGCTATAGCAAACGGGGAACTGCCCAATGCCTCTCCCCTGCCCCTCGGGCAAATGCTTCCAACTCTGGACAACTCTATCTTAAGAAAGGTCTTTAAGTTAAACTGTCTTCCCGCGGCCTCCTCTCACTTTTCTTGTTCCCCGTCCTCTCCCTGAATAGCAGGGAAGGATTTACAACAGCACTTGTAATCCTAAGAGAATTAGCTCATGTCTGTAAACTGGAGGAGTTGCTGTTTGCTCCTTCAGCAAATCTACACACGTGCCTAATGGCCATACACACCACGGAGAACAGAGGCACGGCTCCCACACCCAGGCATGGCACAGGACAGGAAACAGATGGTTCTGAGACTCTCTGGTTTTTCTTGTGAAGTGGGACATTTGGGGTGAAGAGAGGAAAATGACACCACACAGGAGTGGCTTTGGAGATGGTGTGGATAAGGATCTCAAGACCAAGGAACCACACTGGCTGCACCAGGAAGCAATAGTTAAATTCACAGGCTCCAAAGTCAGACAGCTTGAGTTCAGACCCAGCTCTGCTATGTACTGTGTGATCTCTGAGCCTCAGTTTGCTCATCTGTAAAATGGGGATAACAGCATCTAACTCATAGATGACATGATGAATAGGTAATTAAAATTATGTAGAGAACACTAAGCACATTCCTTTGTACAAAGTGTTCAATATGTTAGCTATGTCTGTTTTTTTTTTGTTGTTGTTGTTTTTTAAGTCAGAATATAACATCAGGATGTAATTTTGTCAGCTCAAAGGAAACTTTAAACAAAAATAGGTAGGTGCAGGGAGAGAGAGCCAGATAAACTCAGGAGGCTGCTTGATTTGGAGGCGGCAGGTATGGGTAAGGAAGATAAGCAACCATGCCTGTGGAGCGGGAGAGGGCAGGGATTTACAAGCGCAAAGGTCAAAGAAGGTTGAGAAGCAGGCATTCAGCCTCGGGGGTCAAGAACCATTGCACAGTTAGCTTGGAGGGAATGAGGATGGGTGCTCACAGGGGTGTCAGGGAACCTCACTGGCACCTCAGGGCCCTGGCAGGAGCCAGACAAGTTTGCAACAAGGAGCGAAGCTGCTTCGAGGTGAGATGAGCAGCCCAGGCTGCTAAAGCAAACACGGTGTGGAACTCCTGGGGCCTGAATGGAAGCCAGCTTGGGTCAGGATAAAAGAAGAGGTAGCAGGGAAAAGGGTGGAGCAGAAGGAGGGAAACAATCTGCAGGGTCTCACCTGTTCAGCAGAAGGGGTATTAAAAGTTTGAAATAATCCCTCCAAATCCTTCCCACTGCTCTTTCTCTAAGGGGAAAATTCCAAACTCCTTACTGTGGCCTATGAAGCAGGTTTCAGAATCAGGCCCTCAACCCCGCTGTCCACCCACCCATAGCTCCTCAGGCTTCAGCAGCATTGGTCTCCTGTCTGCTCCCAAACACTGCGAGACCTTCCCTCCTCTGCAACACTCCTGCCACCCCCCTACCCTGAGCTCACTCCCCAGCTGTCTGCACAACTGATTTATTCTCATGCTTCAGGGCTCAGATCCAAAGTATAAGAGAGGTCTTCCCCACCCTTCACCCCACATAAATCTGCCCCTTCAAAGCACAACAAATCCACAGTATCTTGTTCTATGTATTTGTCTCCTTGCTAACTGGCCACCTTCTCAAAAAGGCAGAGGGACCCTGTCTGCCTTGTTCACTCCTAGGTTCTCACTGTCTAGCAGATAGATACTTGTGAATAAATGGATAGATCCATGCAGCCAGCACTGTGCTGGGCCTTAGATGGATATTGATAAATCAGACCTAGTCTCTGCCCCTATGAACCACACAATGTAGTGAAGAAGACTGAAGTATGAACAAATAATTACGACACAGTGCAAGGTGTGTTGATAGAAGCAGGTGTGCAACTTCCCTGGGTCTTGAAGGACAAGTAGAAGCTGTCTCAGAAGGTGAGGAGGAGAATGCTGTTTCAGGCAGAGAGGGTGGTGCACATGAAAGCCAGGGAAGCATGTAAGGGCAGGGTATAGTTGGCAAAGGTCAAAATGGTTGATGAGATTATGCAGGAGCACCCAGCTGCTCAAGATGAGTCAAAGCCTTCCGTGAAATTCACATACACAGGACAAGGGCAATGCATGAGAGGAGCCTGGGAATCACACCTATCACATTGAGGGCCTGGATGCCAGTGCCTAACAAATCAAGTGGTCTCACATGTAAACATGACAGATTTTTTTTAAAGAAAGAGCTCATCTTTCAGCAGATGGGACACATTGATGAGCTGTGATTGGCCCCACTTGAGGCCTTAGTACCTGGGTATAAGGGGAGAGGGTAGTTAGGGAGTGTCAAACCCAGAGGGCCCAGGCTATGTGCCCCTGTAACAGAAGGGCCATAAAATAAGACCCATGGGCCTTCTGCCCAGCGATGAGTTTGTACTTGGCAAACAGCATGCTGGGTGGACCTGTGGGAGCTGGCCTGAAGTGAAACATGATTCAAGGTGCATGACAGGCATCAGAAGCCATGGCTCCTTTTGCCAGCCTACTCTCCTCTTCCTGAAAATTCAAATACAGAACAAGGAAACATTACAGAGTTTTCCACATATACATACAAGACCATAAAACCGTTTAAATCCATCATTGTACAATGTTCTTTCATAAGAATCCTAGTAGCTGATGTGTAGTTTTTGACAACGCACAAGCAGCCAAATGGAAGAGGTGCACGGAGGAAAGGATTGGGGATGGTGAGGGACGCATGGAGCTTCCTTGCCTCTCCAGGGCCACTACCCAGCAGCACTTCCATGGGTTCACCAGCCCTGAACTTCTCGAAACCCCTCCCTTCATTTAGGGTTTCTTATAGAAGCTCCATTCCACAGACATGATTAATTCAGTCATGGGTCACTCAGTCCTCAGTGACTGAACTCAGTCTTCAGCCCCTCTCTCCTCCCCAGAGGTAGGAGTGGGGAGGATTGGGAGTGGGGCTGAAAGTTCTAACCCTCTATTCACATGATTGGTTTCTCTGGTAACCAGCCCATCCCGCAGGAAGCACCTCATTAGCATAAAGCTGAGTAAGGCTGAAAGCGGTTTATTATAAATAACAAAAGTTGCCCGTTTTCTGTGTTAGAAAACTGGAAGGAGACCAAATATATATATTCTTTATTATAGTAGTCCCCCCTTATCCTTGGGTGGGATATGTTTCAAGACCCCTGGTGAATGCCTGAAACAGTGGATGGTACCAAGCCCTATATACAGAATACGATGGTTCTTTTCCTGTACATACAGACCTATGATGAAGTTTAATTTATAAATTAGGCATGGCACAGTAAGAGATTAACAATAATAATTAGTAATAAAATAGAACAATTATAATAATATACTGTAAAAACACTATGTGAATGTGGAATGTGACCTCTTTTTATTTTTTGAGACAGGTTCTCACTCTGTCACCCAGGCTAGTAGGGCAGTGGCATGATCTCGGCTCTCTACAACCTCCACCTCCCAGGATCAAGCGATTCTCATGCTTTAGCCTCCTAGTAACTGGGATTACAGGTGTGCACCACCAGGTCTGGCTAATTTTTGTATTTTTTGTAGAAGACAGGGTTTCGCCATGTTGGCCAGGCTGGTCGCGATCTCCTGGCCTCAAGTGATCTAGTCACCTCAGCCTTCCAAAGTGCTGGGATTACAGGTATGAGCCACCATGCTTGGCCTTGTGGTCCCTTTCAAAATACCTGATTGGATGGTGCCTTGGGTAACCGAATCCCATGGGTAAGAGGGGGCTACTGTATATCATATCATAGTATCACAGGTCTCAGAGGTAAATGTGCTGTTTGATGACACGCATTGTGTTCAGTGTCTTCCACATCGGTTCCTCCCACAGGGACACAGTATCTCCTAGGGAGTCAGGGCTCAGCAGGGATATGGGGCTAAAGTACACCAAGCCCCAGAAGTGACATGCCAAGGAGAAGACAGAGACAGCATCCAGAAGAGGCAATACTTCAAAGAGAGCAGGAGAGCCAGAATCCAACCCAAAATCTCAAGCGACATGTGAAAAATCAGGGTGACATCTAAGCAGATGGCGGACGGTGGGAAGTAGAATTTTTTTTTTTTTTTTGAGATGGAGTCTCTGTTCCCCAGGCTGGAGTGCAGTGGTGCAATCTTGGTTCACTCCAACCTCCGCCTCCCAGGTTCAAGTGATTCTACTGTCTCAGCTTCCTGAGTAGCTGAGACTACAGGCACCTGCCACCACACCTGGCTAATTTTTTGTATTTTTAGT